CAGATGACCACAGCTACAGAGAGTTCATGAGCGCAATGGCTCTGCTGTTTCTAGAAGACAAAAGAAAGCAACTAAGATTACTTGCAGTGCACATTTAACGGATGCTGAGCCCCGACATTCAGAAGTCAGCTGTGCTTATGCAAATGTATAACACTTGACACTTGCCCCCATGTTAAGTCTCTTGTCCCCTACCCACGAGTCACATGCTCATGTGTCAGTAGCCACGTGTTGCTGTGATCTACCGGAACATTGCCAAAGTTTTCCGGACATCCCTGCAGTATATCACATGCTGACGTCTGCTGTTTCTTCCCATATTATTACCAGATCCTTGGGAAGCCAGGAGGCATGCGTTTACTCACAGAAAGCACTCATTCTTTTCTCATGCTGTGGAGCAAAGCACAGATGAAGCTGACTCAGTTTCTTCTCTGGCTGTGTGTGGGGTAGGACTAGAGGCTGTTGCTTCCCAGGAGTCAGAAGGAATCACAGGATCACCATTCCCTGGCCCCTGGCTTCTGTGCAGTGCTCTTGGGGCTCTGTGAGAATGGCAGCGATGACACGTTTAATGAAAGGTAAACATACACAGTCAGTCTCCAGCAGATGTGGCCTGTGGAGGAGTGGGGAGTGAGCACAGGGGCGAGAGCCCACAGCTGTGCTCTAGGCTCACCTGTTAGGCTGCCCTGCACAAGGTTAACCTTGTTTTTCAGGAACAGAGAAGAGGGTGATCCGGGGACCAAGATTCTATTAGCGGCCCTCCAATGCCATTAAGATGTTGGTGTGCTTGAAACAGGAGCAGTCTTTTGAGTTGCCTTTAAAAACTCACAGCTGTCTGAACAATGTCCAGGGCACTGCTGGCATCTAGTGTAGAGATAGAGAAGCAGCTGGTAGGCAAACACTCAGGGCTCACAAAGGAGGGATCCCAACCAGACTCAAATAACACCCATGTATACCCCCTTGGATGCCTCTTCTTTAACAAGAGCGCTGCCAGCAGATGAAGAGTCATAGTCATAAGAATGAACAGAAGTTTCTCCAGTACATCTGGACAACACTTAGAACACTGGATGTCAATACTACCAAACACAATTCCTCTCTATGTAACACATAATAAATTACTACCACCCTGTGACATCTTCAAATTTAATCTATAGGCATTTGAAAGTGGCCTGTGTATATTACTATACATTACTATAAAATCAAATAATATGTTAGTAAAAGGAGGGAAGTTAAAAAATGATAATGTATTTAATATGTATTTATTAATACAGTCAACACATAACTGGGACACTAACTTTTTACTTACATAGAATGAGTAAGTTTGAATTTAAGGGTTACAAGTAAGGAATAAGAGTATACAAGAGGGGCAGAAACAAGGAACCACAGACAAGAAAGGACATGGGACATTTGTCTCGCTGGGTCTGAGTTACCTCACTCAATATGATCTTTTCTAGCTGCACCTGTTACCTGCAAATTTCATGGTTTCCTTTTTCTTTACAGTCTATCAGTATCCTGTAGTGTGTATGTTCCACATTTTTATTATTCGTCATTTGAAGGACATTTAGGATGTTTCCATTTCCTAGCTATTGCGGGAAGGACCTCCACCCCCTTAATTGGTTAGCCAATACAAAGTGGCCAGCCTGCCGGGCGGTGGTGTAATTCCAGCAACTCGGGAGGCAGAGGCAGGCGGATCTCTGTGAGTTCGAAGCCAGACTGGACCGACCGCCTCCAAAACAATACAGAGAAACCCTGTCTCATAAAAACAAAAAACAAACAAACAAAAACAAAGTGGCCAGCCTTGTAACATTAAACAGACTGACCAAGTTGTGTTTATATACTTAGGAATATAAATGGTTATATATGTAACAATAATTAAAGAAAAAGAGGCAATGAATACGAGAGAGAGAAGAAAGCCTTATTTAGGAGGATTTTGAGGGAGGAAGGGGAGGAGGGAAATGATGGAAATATAATTTCCTTTTTAAGGCTGATCCTTTTTATTGAAAATAGATTTTTCATGTAACACATTCTAATTTCAGTTTCCCTTCCCTCTACTCCTCCCAGCTCCTCCCCACATCCCCCACCATATGAATCTACCCCCTTTCTATCTCTCCTTAGAAAACAGCTATCTAAGGGATAAAAATAAACTTAAGTAAAATACAATGAGTTGGAACAAAAGTAGGTAAAGTGGAATAGGATAAAACTAACAGAAGGAAAAGAGACACAAAAAGGACACAAGACACGCATATAGATGCAGAGTTTCACTTGTTTGTACATTCAGGAATCCCATAGAAGCACAAAACTAAAAGCATAATATAGATGCGAACCTTGGGGTAATAAATAAATAAAATGTAAAATTAAAAATTAAAGCCCTGACAGACATTATGAGACTGGGAACCTCCCAAGGTGTCATTGAGTTAGTTTTGTGTTGGAATCTACTGCGGAATGTGCGGTTTGTTTCCCTTGGAGAAAACTAATTTTTCATTTGCAAATGGTCAGCAATTGGATATTACTTCTGAGTGATGGGTTGGGAATATGTTTCCACTTTTCCTTTTGGCTCTAGGCCTCCGTATGGTGCAGACCTGTGCAGGCCATGTGATGCTGCCTCAGTCTCTGTGAGTTCGTATGTGCATCAGTAGGCGATGTTTAGACATCTTTTCTAGTTTATATCCCATTCATCTCCTTCAGTTGTCTTATTAATATAGTTAAGATTTCAAGTACTATATTAAATAGATGTGAAGACAGTGGACAACCTTGCCTTGTTCCTGATTTTAGTGAAATTGCTTTGAGTTTCTCTCCATTAAAGTTAATGCTGGTTATGGGCTTCCAGTAAACTTCCTTTACTGTGTCCCTTGTATCTCTAATCTCCCAGGACTTTTATTACAAAAGCATGTTGGATATTGACAAAGACCTTTTCTGTATCAAATGATATGATCATGTCATTTTGTCTTTTTTTTTGTTTATATGGTATAGTACATTTGTAGACTTAAAACGTGTGTTGGACTACCTCTGCATCTCTGGGATGATGCCTAATTAATCATAGTGGATGATCTTTTTGATATGTTCTTGGATTTGATTTGCAAGTATTTTATTTTTCCCTTGATGAGTATGTAGTGTCTTTATTCACCTTTTCTGTTTTGATTTGAAGTATGTTTTATCAGCGATTAAAATGTCCACACCATGTTACCTCTTAGGTCCATTTGCTTGGAATATCTTTTTCTACCCAGTGTCTTAGTAGACTTCCTGTTGTCTGCAAGAAGTAGCACTCTCAGCTCCAGGACCAGGTAGACGAATACACCATCATGCTCCCCATCATGATGATAATGGACTGAACATTTGAAACTACAGTCATCCCCAATTAAATGTTCCCTTTAGAAGAGTTGAGATAGTCATGGTGCCTCTTCACAGCAATGGAAACCCCTAACTGAGCCAGTCCCCCATGGCCTGTGTGGGAGGGCATAGCAGCAGTCTCTCCTGGGATGCACTGTTGGCACACATAGGGACAGTTGGGAAGTTCCTATTCTCCGGGTAAATGAAACAAGTTTTGAACCACATACTTCTAACTTTCCAAAATTTCTGTGTATAATCCCTCCTGAATGGGCAGCCTCCTTGGAGACCAGGGGTCTTATTTGTATATGGTCCCTCCTCAGAGTGGGCAGCCTCCCTGGAGACCAAGGGTCTTAGAAGTGCTCTTTGTCCTCACTACACAGATTTATTCTTGGAAGGCAGAGTTGAGGCAGCACATGAAGTTTAACCAGACAGACTACTGAATTCTCAGCTCCACCTAGCATCCAGTCGGCCTTTCTCCCTCTTTTGCTTACTTTGTGACCCCAGACTACAGGATGGTGCTGTATAGCAGGTCTTTTCTGTTCTGTCAATAATTCCTGGAAAGGACTTCACAGACACAGAGAAAGGTTTACTTATTAATGTCCTATGTCTTTCTTTCTTCCTTTCTCTTAATTTTTAAAAGAAGTGTATGGGTGTCTTGTCTGGATGTATGTCTTTGTATCGTGTGTGTACAGGGCCACAGAGACCAGCAGAGCATGTCGAATACCCTGGAGCTGGAGTGTGGTTATACACACAGGGAGACTCCACTGGAGACGACTAATTTTCCTTTTCAAATGGGTGCCAATTACAAGTGGCTTCTTGGTTAGGAGTGCGAGCCCTCCCGCTCTCAGTGCTGGGCCCCATCTGGCAGCTCTTGTGTGCTGCCACAGTCCGTGAGTTCATATGTGCATCAGTCCTGCTGGGTCTGGGGAAAACTGTTTCCTTGGAGTCTTACAATCTTTCTGCCTCCTCTTCCACGTAGCTCCCTGAGTGCCGAGGGGAGGGTTTGATGAAGACATCACATTTAGGACCGAGTGCTCCAATGCTTCTCACTCTTTGAACCTTGTCTAGCTGTGAGTCTCTGTGTAAACTCCTTCTTACTGCAGAAGGCCCTTCTCTGATAATGGTTGGCTGAGCACTCATCTATGGGTCAGAATGCCATGGGCAGTCATTTTATTCCTATGTTTCCTTAGCAGAGCAACAGTGTTTGATTTCCCCCTACTCCAATGGCCTATCCAGTGTCAGGTGCTTGGTCACCCTAGCAGTGTCAGACATGGGTTCCATCTCTGATCCAATGAGAGTGTGGCTGGTTACTCCTAGAACATTGGTCCTACTCTTGCACCAGCATGTCTCATAGGCAGGTTACCATTATAGGTCACCAGGTTTGTAGCTGGGTTGATGATTGCCTTTCTTCTCTGGTGGAATGCACAGTACCTTCTGGTACCATGAATGCTAGTCAGCAGGGCTGAAGTCAGTTCCACAGTTGATCTATCTGCTTCCCTGGCCTGTGTAGCTAGTGGGTTCCCAGTGAATCTGTCATTTGGCCAGTGATATCCCTATAAATGCTAGACGGGTAGCCTACTCAACATTGAGGCTCTCATTGGTCAGGCAGCTTCTGTGACATTGAGTTACAGAACAATGCCAAATGTAATTTTTTTATTTATTTAAATTAGAAACAAGCTTGCTTCACATGTCAATCCCAGCTTCCTCTCCCAATGTAATTTTTTAACAGTTCTGTAAGGCATTCATTTTTATCTTGGGTTCATAGGAAAGTGGAAACTCAGATCTGGAAAGTTAAATTCATATTTGTTCAATCTCTTGATGGAATGCAGCAGAGCCAGGATCACAGCACAGCTGTAGCAAGCATGTTTGAATCTCATGTCCACCCTAGAAAGTAGAAGGTTACAATTAGGAGTTGTGGTTCCCACTTTGGTTTCGTGAAGCCACAGTCTAATTTCAATGATGCAACAGCTGAATGCTGTGCTGGCATGCAACATCCTTCTTTTGGGGAGTTTTTAAATGATCTGTAATAACCATACATATTCATGAGGTATAGGGTGGTGCTTTAATATAGGCATGCAATGTGTAGTAATCAAATCAGAATAATTTGCATATCCATTACTTCAAACATTCATGTCATATCTCTACTCACTTCAGGGTCCCTGTCTGCTCACCATTTATATCATATCTTGTGATACTTGCTTCGTATTTTATTCTAAGGAATCTCAGAAATTGGTTGTGATCTCAAGAAAATTAAATCAAACTATGCTGACAGGATATAAGCATGGTAATTTATCAACTACTCCATAATAGAGACCAGAAATCTAAATGTCGCTTAGAGTATTTTGTTAAGATCTGTGCTCAGTATGGGAACAATTAGCTAACAGACTGCAAATAAATCCTCTGATTGCTCTCAGGGATTGACAGTGACTGGTTACAAAGGCTCTCATGAAGAAGATGGTGGTTGGGTTAGATCCCGCATGGTGTGCCTGCTGTACTGGCTTCTACCTGCACTCCATCTTGAACAGTGTATCAAAATTTGCACAATAGGCTTCGTGTCTCAAGAACATGAATCCTTGTCATATAACTGGTGGCCAAGAGAGGAAGACCACTTAGGGAGAGAACACCTCAAAAAGTCAATTTGTAGGAATTAAGTTTACAATTGGGTGAGCTGTTCTCTATAACTAGTGACTGTGAGCTATTAAAATGAAGCCACAGTGAAGCCAGATGGCATCTGAGAATGGGACTATAATCAACTTTGAATAAATTTTTTTCTTGCCAAATTAAAAATACACCTACTCTATTGACCAGCAATTTCACTCTCTGATTCATTTATCCCTGAGAAACAAAAACGTGTTTACAAAAAGTTGGGCAAAGGATTCATAGAAGTTTTATTATGAATGAATGGCCACCCAAACTGAAAACCATCAAATTCCCATGACCAGGTGTAAGGATAAACAGATTAGTATCACATTCTTACAGTAGGAAATACCATGCAATGAAACCACACGTGCTAACAACATGAGAGAATCTCAAATGCATTATGCTGAATGAATGAAGAAATGTATAATCAACTAAATATTTAAATAATTTAAAGTCCTAGCATAGGTATGTGTTCTGACAGTAGAAATCCAGACACTAATTCCCTGTGGGGACAGGAAAGTAGCTAGGACGAGACAAGGAAACTTTCTAAAGTGATGTAAATGTCAAAATTGCACACTTTAAATGTATAAATTATTTTCCAGTAAAAAAATAAAACATGCTTGATTTAGGTAATAGGAGACCATAACTGAGCCCTCTTCCTTCTGTTCCCCATCTTCTTCTTGGTTTCATGTTTCAGGTCACCAGCAATGAGACGTCATGCAGTCAGTCTTCGTTGGGAGTAGACCACTAGAATGAGGACCAGGGACAATGGGTGACCTTCCGTGTGTTATACGAACACACAGTCAATCCATGATTCTACTGTGTGGATCAAGCATCTTGCATATAATATACTACTAATTATTGAAGAATTCCCTACCCAGGCCCTCATAACAAATTGATACTGAACTTAGGTTTGAAAGCTCATCATTTAGAAATTTAAATCTAAGACACAAATACTCGGAGGAAGAAAGTAAGGTTTAACTGGGAGTGCTGCCAAATCAAAAGGAGATAGACTGATGTCTTGCCCTTTCCCTTTCAGATATTGAAAGGGGAGGAGGAATTATGTAAGGACCAGAGAAAGAAGTAGAAAGAAATGTTGCTGGAGGCTTAAGGAAGACAACCTGTGGACAAGTGGAGATGGCAAGTGCCACATTGTGGTAATAGTCCCTTATTGCATGCATGGGGCATTCTAGTCTCTCTCTCTCTCTCTCTCTCTCTCTCTCTCTCTCTCTCTCTCTCTCTCTCTCTCTCTCTCTCTCTCTGTGTGTGTGTGTGTGTGTGTGTGTGTGTGTGTGTGTGTGTGTGTGTCCTTTGGCACATTGGGTTTGGAAAGCAGTGGAGTTTTAAGGGCTGCTTACTGGACCACGCAAGTATGAGCACAAAAGACAGAGGTGCTAAGAGTTATTTGGACTGTCAGGGACTCACTCAAGTGGTTTCAGGGAAGAAGAATTTCAGTATGTTGCCTAGAGATGATTCTTGTGATACTTTGGTGAAGAAAGTGGCCACATTTTGCCCTTGTCTGAAGAGTCTGCCTGAGGTTAAAATGAAGTTTTGGATGAATTCCATTAATGAAAGAAATCTCAAAACAACCTAGCATGGACTCTGTCATGTGGGTTTTAGTAGTAAATCTAATGAAGATTTATAATGAAAAGGAACAAGCTGAGCAGGACAAATTACAGAAAGAAAATTTTGAGGAGAAAAAAGAGCACCAGGAAGTGGAATGCAGCTAAAGCCTATGTTTAAAAGTATAAATAGATTAAAATATAATAAATGGAGTGGTGACCTAGACAAGATTCCACCCAGCTAAGTTTCCAACTTGTGGAAAGAAACTAAAGGAAAGTTTAGACCTAGGAAGACTGGGGCTGGTGGATCTCTGAGTCTGAGGTCAGCCTGGTCTACAGATCCAGCTTCAAGATAGCCAAGCTTAGGCAGTGAAAGAAACCATCTATACTACAGAAAGCTGCTGAAGATGTAGTTGAATGAGGGGGCCATGTTCTAGCCCCAGAAACCAGCAGAACTTGGTAGCTTCAGCCGCATGTTTCTGGGTTTAGAGTTAAGGATAGAAGAAAGGATTTATGGAATAAAGCAGCTGCAGCCAAGCATGTGTCAGGGGTGTTCCTAAATGTAGGCCTAGTAGAGAGGTCATTATGTGAAGCTATGAACTTGAAGCCTGACTTGCCTTGGAGAATCCAAGATGTTAGAGATGCCAGAGTCATGGGATACTTCCTCAGGAGAACTGTTAAAGGGCATGGAATCAGCCCAAAACAAAGAACTGTGTTGCATTTAACAAAGATGAACAAAGCTGAACAGAGTTGGAAATCTGAACAGTGCTTTGACATGGAGATACACAGTTTTGAGTTTACCCAGCTGATTTTCAGTCTTGCTTTGGTCCAGTATTTCCTCACTATGCTCTCGTCCCTGTGTTTTGGAATGGTAATGTATATCCTGTAACATTATATGTTACAAGTATGTGATTTGCTTTTTTATTTTGATTTTTACACAGGGATTACAGTTAAGAGATTGCCACACATCTCAGAAGAGCCTTTGGGCTTTGAAACAAGTTTGAGACTATCATAGACTACAGGGACTTTTGAAGTTGAACTGAATATGTTTTTTGCATTATGAAATAAACATTTGGGGGCCAGGGAGTAGAATGTGGTGGTTTAAAAGAAAATGATTCCCAAAGGGAGTGGCACTATTTATAGGTGTGGCCTTGTTGGAAGAGGTGTGTTACGCTTTTGCTCAAGCTTCCCTCCATGTGAGAGTGAGTTGACCTCCTATTGCTTGCAAGCCAAGATGTAGCCATCACCAAGTGAGCCTGCATGCCACCATGCTCCCTGTCATGATGATATGGACTGAACCTCTGAAACTGTAAGTGAGCCACCCCAATTCAATGCTTTCTTTATAAGAGTTTCTGTGGTCATGGTGTCTCTTCAGAGCAAAAAAAAAACCCTAAGACAAGTCCTGAGTATATACAGAGACTTTCGGCAGGAAAAATTCAAGATGCAGTGTATCAAGCCAGGTGCTTTTCAGAACCAACAAAGGTTTGAATATCAAATGGACCCATAGGCTTATGTGTTTGAACACCTGGTCCTCAGTGAGGGGTACTGTTTGGGAAGTCTACAGGAGTCTATAGGAGGTGGAACCTTGCTAGAAGAAGTGGATGACTGGGTGAGCCTTGAGGTTTTATAGACTGGCCCCACTTCCTGTTCACTTTCTGCTTCCTGGCTGTGAATGCAGTAAGACCAACTGGCCACCCATTCCTGCTGCTGTGCCTTCCCACCATGCTGGAATGAATTCCTTTGAACTGTAAACCAAAATAAACCCACTCTTCCTTCCTCACTTCCTTCCTTCCCTCCCTCCCTCCCACTCTCCCTCCTTCCTGCCTTCCTTCCTTTGTTGCTTTAGTTGGTTATTTTATCATAGCAATAAGAAAAGCAACACTACATGCTCTATTACCCATGTGATTAGGCAGGCCTAATGAGTCCACTTTGAGAGAGCTTTCTCATCACTCAGAACCTTGGGACCACACAAGAAGTAAGTACTGTCTTGTATGTATATGATGTTGGAAGCCTTATTAGGACAGTAGTAAAAAGTGGTAAAAGGAAAGAGAGTTGCTAGACTTGTGAGTTAGGATTCTAGCCATTCTATCTGCTTTCCTAAGAATTCTACTTTAATATCTGCTCCCTACTCTCTATTCCTCCTAGGTGTTTAGCTGGGTAATAACTCAAGAAGGAAAGAACCGTGGTTCTTGGCCTCAAGGAACTACAAATCAAGACAGTTGTGATGGACCATCTGGAATATGGTACACAAAGTTACTGGAAGAGGGGACAGCTTTTTCCACAGCTTCTTAGGCAGAGAGACAGATCAACTGAGTCTCACCAATGGGTAAGAGAAGCAGGAAGAACAAACACACGGTGCAAAGGCATGAAATTAATGTGCTTTGGTACAGACAGAGGCAAAGTTTCCTAGCAAATTGCTAGCTCTTTCTTAAAGACATGAGTTGTCTCTTAGAGTTCCTCATCATCTCACACACAGTCTGTGGTTCCCCAACGGCACTCAGTTCCACCTGTCTGAGGCTTTTGCTGAGTATGTTGACATTGAAGTTTGTAGATAAGCAAGGCCTCCTGAGCTCACCTGACTAGAGCTAGGAGCAGGAAATAGTATTCAGTTGCTATGAAAGCATCACCAAAATGTCTGCTTCTTTAGGCAGTGATTCCCCAGAAGCACTCTTTCTCTGTTGTGGTCTCCCCCTAGCAGCTCTCTGGTGTATTAAGTAAAAATGTAATTTTTAAATGCAGACCCCGGAGCCATATTACCTGGATTTGTAACCCTGGAAATGTGGTTTGTGAGTTATATGAATTTGGGGGTTTTTTTTTGTGTGTGTGTACCTCGCTCCCCTTACATATGAAATGGTGATAATGACTTTTCCTTATGACTTAATATATGCTAAACCCCTAGAAGACTTACTAGATCCATCAATGCTCTACAAATGTTGCTATTATTATTGATAATATTGTAACTTAATGCAAAGGGTTCACTTCTTGGTGAGTATAAAGTTCATTAGCACAACCAGGAGGTAGAAAGAATGAAGAAAAATGTGTTACCCGAAGTGAATGAAGGAGAGAGCTGAGGCTAATTCCCAAAGCAATATCTTTAAGCACAGAGAGCAAAGGTTAGGGAACAAAGTCATGTATTCATATGGTACAGACTCATCACACTCAGAGGAGAGCACATTCCTGAGTACACTCAGGTCAAAGTCATCCTTCCTGCACAGTGCATGTCCCAAGGACAGTGACCAACCATGACTGTGAGCATGGAATTCAGTATTATATTGATCAAAGCTAGCTGTAGGTTACCAAAGGTGGAGGGCTCAGAATGACTCAACGATCCAAGATATTCCTTGTAGGTTTTTATAGAAGGCTTCATCTAAAACAACAAAAACACTGAGGCATGTTAGTAGTCATGTAAAGGGGTAACCACACCCTTTGTAAGCATAGGATTGTCTCTAAAAGTTATCTGACCAGTGACTGAAACATTCCCCCATGACATTCCATTCCTCAGACCACAGGGGCTTCGAGATAGTAGTAATTCCAAAGTCACTTAATGCTAAATAGGGCACTGTCATGTCCTTTTCAAAAAAGTGAAATTCTCTTATTAATGAAGTGTAATAGTAGCCCACATAATCAACTAAACAGGGACCATAGAGGCTCATAGAGACTGAAGTGACAACCACAAATTCTGTAAGGGTCTTTTTTAGACCCTCTGCACACATGTTGTGGTTAAATATTTACCTGGGGTTTTATTGGACTCCTTACAGTGGGACTGGGGTTTTCTCTAACTCTTTTGTGTGCTCATGTAATCCTTTTCCTCCTACTGAGTTACCTCATCCAGCCTGGGTATGAGGATTTGTGCCTGGTCTCATTGCATCTTGTTATGATGTGTTTGGTTGATATCCCTGGGAGACCTGCCCTTTTCTGAAGGGAAATGGAGGAACCATAGATCTGGGGTAGAGGGGAGGTGGGGGGACTACTAGAAGGAGGGGAGGGAGGAGAGGCTATTGTATAAGAGAAGAATAAAGAAAAAGAAAAAATAAAAGCACAATAGACTTTAGGATCACCAACAATAATGTATAAAAGCATTTCTTCAACTACCTCAGCAATTATTTTACAGGACAGTTTGTAACACATTAAATATGTCACACTTAGAGTAAGTCAAATGAGCATTCCTAATTTAAGTAACAAAGGAAATTTAGGTTTAATGCCCTAGAAAATCCAGGATAATTATTCTGAAGGAAAAAAAAACACTGTTTCTATTAAAGACAGGATGTCTGCTTTCAGACAATCCCAAGATGAGCTTGAACTTCAGCAGCGGCATTAATTTGAAGTAAACACAAAAGGGGGAAATACAGAAAGAACACACTACTCCTGGCTCAACTAGGACAGCATCTAAAGAAATGCAGATATGGAGTACAACTTGAACTAAAAATCCCACTTCTGTGTGATCAGAATCGTCCCAAGAAGTTTCATTACTAAGTTCTCCAAGGTGCTAATTTTCTAATCATTCATTCATAGGCTCCCAACCACCCCCACACTGAGGCAAGAATATTCTGATGGAAATAAACCAAAGCCCATCTTCCTTAATCCTTAAAATTTTACAATTATCTTGTAAATTTTAAACAAAATTTTCCTCTGGGGTACCTTCATTTTGTTGCAGGTCCATAATATGGAGACAGACACTAATCAGTTTCTCAAACTTTTAATTGTCAACAGCCAAGATGCAGATTTTTCTCAATCTCCCATGTTTCATAGCTACATGTGCCCCCAACCAACCCCTGATTTAGAACTAAGATGTCCTTCCATCTTTCACTGAAGGCATCTGGCACTGAGATTTCTTTTAATCTCCCAGATCTCTGATTGCTGTAGCTTCAGATTTATGCTGACCCCTCTGTGCATCTCCAGCACAGGTCCTTTCCTGTATCCCCAGGACCCTACCCATGAATAGAAGGGTCAAACATGACTCCCAACCCAGAGAGACATTTGAGTCAAAGGCTCAGAGCAGCCAGTAAATTCAACACAAGTTGTAGGAATGCAGTCAGGCAACAAGAAGCAACTTCTCCCATCTATCCACTCCTGCCTGCTTCTGTCAACAGAGTAAAGATAACCCAGGACAAAATGCCATTGCCCACTGATTCTCCTGTTGGCAGGCAAAGTAGCCACAAACCTTCAACGAAGACCTACCTGGGTGGCCAACTTTGTAACTGAAACAACTTTGCCAGAATCTTGATCTCCTCTTCTGTTCCTAGAAGCTAACTTTTTCTGTGACTTGAGCAAGGCTCAAAACCAGGTCCAGATACTCTTATTCGTTTCAAGTCTGATCTGGCCTATGTAGTGAACTCAGCAACTAGAGAACACTTTTGACTCTACAAAGTAAGCAGAAATAGTGCAATCTATAACAAAAGTCATTGTCTTGTTCCCTAGATCTCCAGCAGTCCCTTTTCAGGCCTTCTCACTATATTTCCTTATAACTCACACCATGCCTCTGGCCCTACCAATAACTCAACCATTGCTGAACATTCATTGCTCATAATGGAATCAGAAATATCCAAACTTCTCTTGATATGACTTAGCCCTACCCATGACTGATTTCAGCCACTGAAGGGTAACATTAACCTGATTGCCTTCAAAAGTCAAATGTCACTATAAGCCTGATGGTCTTAAGGCATGCACAATCAAGCCCAGAATTCATCCTGACTTGCAAAACTATCTCAAGTGAGACACATCACAGGGCAGAGCAAGAAGGATCCTGAGGACCAGATGACCTCCATCCACATTTATTGAATTGCACAGGACTCCAGCATTTCATGGAGGGTCACACTTTCCTGGCTGGACCACAACTGCTTAGAATGGCATCTCATTCTCATCACCCAAACTGAACAGGCATGTCACTCAACGGGTAGTAATGGCCACCTGAAAAAGACAAACCACTTCCCATTTGCATCCTGAGTTCACTCAAATCCTACTGGCTCTGTCTATAGAATCCAGATGGGTCCAAGATTGGCCTGTTTCCATGAACTTATTCTCTAGAACTCAAGAGACGCTGTCAAGCTTCCACCTCAAATGACTCTATATGTGACCTTATATCTAGCTATTGAGATTAATTCCCTTAGGCAGGGGCACTAGACACTGATACAAGATGTTCTACCTTGTAAGAAGGATGTCCAGTTCAATGACCCTACTCAAAAAGGATCTAGAATGGCAAATAGTTGAGAGTCTCCTATGAGAACTTTCTCTTCTCTATCTACTATCAGTACTTACATACATCAGCTAATTTGCTTCTTGTGCAGTTAGATTTTTGTCAACTTGACTCAAGCTACAGTCATCTGGCAAGACTCTATTGAGAAAACATCTCCATCAGGTTGGTCTCCAGGCAAGGCTATCTGGGCATTTTCTTAATCAATGACTGGGGAAGGAGGACGGAAGCAGGTGAGGACAATTCTACACAGGGCAGATGGTTTTGTGCTGTATAAAAAACTCAGGCAGAGCAAGCCGTAAGGAGCATGCCAGTACGCCACACTTCTCCATGGCTTCTGCTTCAGTTCCTATCTCCAGGTTCCTGCCTCGGAGAGATATAACTTGATATCCTGAAACAAATATGTTCCTCTCCACAGTAAACAGAAAACAAACCAGGACACTTCTCATTACGATGTAGGAGATGTGAAGAATCGAAGCCCAAATATTCAAGTAGAAGTTAATAAATATGTGACATAAATTGAGGCTTAAGAATCATCTTCCCCAGGCTAGAGAGAAGGCTCAGAGGTTGAGATCATTGGCTGCTCTTACAGAAGTCCTGAGTTCAATTCCCAGTAATCACATGGTGGCTCACCATAAGACCAGGTGCCCTCTTCTGACGTGCAGGTGTACATGCAGGCAAAACACTTTTTAAGTAAATAAATTAATTAATTAAAAAAAAGAATCTCCTTTCCATAAGCTGCTTTGTGGAACAGAGAGGTATGGTCTGAGATGTAATGGATGATGTCAAAATACAACATTCTGTCTAGGTGACATCAGAGCTGACAGCCAGTGTACTCCAGAGCTGTTGAAAGGGTTGAAATTGCTCTGGAAAAGAAATTCCCAGATTAACAACAGGCTGCTTTTAAAGCATTTTAAAGATAGTATTGCCATCTAGTGGTCAGAAAACTATTGTTTCACCTCCAAGCAGACAAGGGAAAAGCAAATGAAGTAGTGGGAGTTTGGGAAGGCCATCAGGAAAATCTTCTTTTTCATTCACACTGCAGATGCTACAAGAGGCTCCGGTCTCACTGCCGTGACCATCAGAAGACACAGATACACAGGGCTGTGTGTGGGTACAAGGTGGGTTTGGCCCCTAATTCTGCTTATTAGTGTTTTATCTTCATTGTCATGACAAAATACCTGATAAAAGCAATTTAAAGAAGGGAGGGTTTGCTTGGGTTCATTTTCTAAAGGGGGTTATAGACCATTACCGTGGCAGCAAAAGGTGGCAGGTCACACCATACCCACAGCCAAGAAACAAAATGGTGAATGACAGGCTCCTCTCCCTCTCTCTCTCTCTCTCTCTCTCTCTCTCTCTCTCTCTCTCTCTCTCTCTCTCACTCTCTCTGTCTCTGTCTCTGTCTCTGTCTCTGTCTCTCTCCCTCCCTCCCTCCCTCCCTCCCTCTCTCTCTCTCTTCTCCTTGTTTGGTTTGTTTTTATTCTGGTCTGCTTTCTTTTGTGTGGACAGGGCTTTACACCATCATTATTCAATCCTTGACGATCTGCTCACATCACTTAAACTTCTGTGGAAGCACCCATATACATACACACCCAGAAGTGCATTGCCCAGGCATTCCTAAATCCCAGCAAGCTGATGGTCAAAATTAACCGGTACACTGGTAAATGGCTTTGAGTGGGAAAATTGACTTAGTCCATTGTTCTGAGAATTGGGGAAAACAGCATCTAACCATGTATCTGGTGAGGCAATCAAATAAAATATTTCATGGAATGTGTCTGGTGTAATGCAACCACTTGAAATGTTACATGCTGCTGTAATACAAAAACAACTGATAACAGCTGGGGTAGAAGAGGGGAAGGACGTGGGCAGTCAATAAATTAGTCACTTAAATGAACCACGCAGGACTGTTCTGAGGGAATCAGTCCCTTGTTTTCTGAGTACAGTTTCATTTCCTCTTTCAATCCATCATCCCACTTTACTGAACCATGTTGTCCTCTACAATATTAATAGTCTCCCTGTCTCCTACATTAATTTGATTGTCTGGTTCAGAATGCAGAGTTCAGCATTGTTGTTATGCTGCCCTGCCCTGAGTCCTTACTACCATCCTGCCTGTAGGAACCCATTGTCTCTTCTTCCATCTATGATTTCAAGCTATTACCTGCTCTTCTCTCTGCTTACCACCTCCTAGGCAAAGGCCTCATTTTTCCAGTACAGGGTTTTTAAAACTCCCTCCCTGAAATAACCCATCTCCATCCATCAATCATCTTTATGAACAGGTAGTTTGAAAGCAAGTAAGCAAACACTTTATTTCAAAGTTTAATATTACAACAAATTCCAGAATCCCTGTAATATCTTGGGAACAATTCGTTTTTGGAGCTAGCATTACAAAATCACTCAAATTCACATCAAAGCTAATTTTTATCTGGGCTAGTTATTTAGTACTTCCCTGATAACTGTTTCACCAAAGGTTAATATTTATCCTTGAATATCCTTTATCCCTGCACTGAGCAGCGAGCCACTATACCAGGCTTTGTGTGGCTGCCTCTTCATACCCGCTATTCCTGGTTATTGGAAGACCTTAGAATCAGGTTTGTCTTGGGTTATTGTCTATGTACTTGGAGGCTGGGGAGAAGAGGACACAGTAGGTGAGGAACTACATAGGTTAGGCATTTGTAGGAGCTTAGCAGTCTAATATGGCAGTGGTCATTCAGCCATTACCTGAGGAAGCTATGGTATCAAAGAGTCTGTAGGCAGAAAAGGTTAAGTCTGGTGAATTTAAACCTGGAAATGATGGAATGAGTATGTTTACTTAAAAGGGTTCTGAGAACCTATAAGGTCATTGTCCTTGGATGTGCCTATTACATAGAGCATTGGTCACAACAAGAAAAAGACAGTGACAGGTCCACTATTTCTTAGAACCAATGTAGTTAATAATTAAAAAAAACAAATGAACTTGTGTCATTTATTTGGAAGCAGATATTAGTGGCCTTCTGTAGACTGGCTTTATAGGAGTGTGATCGGCTCCCAAATGAATCTACGGATCAATCTGGGAAGGACTGAAAAGAACAGGAACCAAGACAGGGCAGTATTGCCACTATAGATAGCCAATAGTTGAACAGAATAGATGAGTTGGGGAACAGATCAAAAGGAAAGGGGGTTTTCATGCTCTTCTGCACCCTCACAGAATGCATGTCTCCCAAAGCCTTTATCGGGAATCACTCTGTAATTTTGCATTTTACTAAGTACTTCAGTTCTTGAGAGAGCCCTGGGATAGATATTGATGTCCTGATTTTATTACTAAATCCTTCAGTTCTTGGGAGAACCCTGGGTAGATAGTGATGTCCTGATTTTATAACTCAGTATCTAATGGAACTTGTACAAATGATAGTGGGCATCACTTGAGGTCCCCTTTTAGAAGTAATGAAAATCCCCCCATATTTCCAGTAGCTTTCCCTAGGAAAGCACTCATATTATTCTCTAAATTATACCAGTAAACTGTGAATGAAATACTAGCTCCCATCAACACTCTACTTGAGGGTTACTCCCAAGCTACTTGGGAGCTCAGAACCTATTTTTCCCATAGACAAAATGGTATTAAAGTAGTGGCTGGATTCTAAGTGACAGAAAGCTCCCACTTGATTAGCAAAGTTTCTGAAAATTGGCAAGTCACAGTACAAAAGGCTACAAAGCAATGTTGTTGTATTGGTAGTCGTTATTCAACATGAAAAACTATAAAAAATTATTTTATACATAATTTCTGTTATTTCTCATGAATGTTGACTATGGAGAACAGCAATCTTCCCACAAAGGGAAGGAGAATTTAGCAAAAAGGTAAGTAAGGAGTGCTAAGATGCTTCTGAGAGTGCGTTCAAGGGCTCTGGCATGAGCGAGTACCAGAACTGTGATATGCGAGCCCCTAGCAGTCCACAAGCATGAATCAGTGCCTTGCACCAGTGCAGAGAGAGTTGAGAAACACTGAAACAGCACACTCCCCATGACAGTGCATGCTCACAGGACAAGAAAGGAGTGACATTACAGAGTAGAATACAAGCAGCTGAGGGTCATTGGGGCAAAAGGGAGAGATTACTCTCTTGTAAAATAAATGAATGATCATCATGGCCTGAAAGGGTCCTGTGCCTTTAACATGATGGCCCAGAGATTTGACCAGAATTGCTTCTAGGCTATCTGTAACTGCTGATGAATTCTTGCAGCCTCTGACTAAAAAGTTGTCTCCCGTTCCCTCCCATTCAAACAAATGTAACAATGTGTTTCACAAAATACCGGTGTGCTGGAACACTCTTTTCCTTTTACTACTCTGTTACTAATCCAATTCTTCTCAGGTTAGTTACTTCCTATGGTTGTCCTGGGGCCCCCTCTACCTAGTTCCAGGGCTGTTTTCCCTTGTGATCTTGTGATCCCCACTGTTTGCCTAAGGGACCAAGCCCTCAGTCCTAAGCCTCTTACTCTAAAAGCATACAGAGCCCCATTCTCTTCTACTCTCCATAGATAACTCAGCCATGGATTTATTGCTGCTTTTTACAAAGACAACTGCTGTGGCTAAAAGCTTTGAAGATTATCCTGCCCTTTGCAACATCTATCCTTGAGGTTGGAACAGTTTTAGACAACTTTAGCTAACCTTGGACCCTATCATCTCCCAAGCTGTGGCCTTGATCTTATCTTTGACATTCTGAATCTTGGTCTAAATTCCAAGAGCTCAGCCAAGGACACATCCTGAATTACCGAAGAAGCCTTTAGTGAGACAAACTGCTTCCCCCACCCCACCCTGTTTCCCAGTACCCCATGATTCTCGCCTTGTTGCTTACAGAAGACTCCAGAGTCTTCCAACCAAATACAGAATCCAATACTCAAGAGGTTCTCAGGTAATAGCAACATGCAGCCTATAAAGTCTTCAAAGGAAAACAATGAGTTGTCTAGGATAATTGACTCTGCTCTGATCAGCACCCTGAACAAAACAAGGCCTTCCCCAACAAGAGAGTCAGCTCAAGTTTACATCTTGAGTCAGAGATCAGGGTTTGAACATCAGACCAAGCAGCAGATACACTGAATGCCCTTGCTCTTGGATTTTCATGTGGTCACTCATTTCTAAATTGTTCCTCCAATTTTCAACCCTGAAAGAAGAGTTTGAAGAAACTCGAGGAGATAAAGTTTCTGAAACAACATCTCACATGTGATCTGTGTGCAAAGGGCTTTTCCTTATGCCAAGCTTGTTTCTAGGGACAATCAAAGTTGAAAAGAACAGACGTGAAGCTTGTGAATGAGGTAGAGGAAATGGGCACACAAGCAATTGCTGGATAAAGAGAATCCCCCCTTCAGCTTCCCATTCCAACTCTGATGTGAAGCAAATTACAGTATCCAAAAACATTGCACTAAGTTCTTTATCAGATTTTGGGAAAGCTCTGAATGACAAAGTATGATCAATCTCCTTCAAGCATAACTCTTACATTGTTCTTTTAATAAGAATAATGAACTCAGTGCTCTACTGACCTTTACATACATCATAAAAAGAAACATGGATAATTGTATCTTTAAGCTTCCAAAATTTTCTCAAATGTAATTTAAAGTACTGATCAAAATTTATAGATACACTTTATACATCATATGTAAATTTTATATAAAATTTATACATATATATATATATTTGTTTTTTTGAGACAGGGTTTCTTTGTATTGCTTTGAAGACTGTCCTGGGACTCACTCTAGACCAGGCTGGCCTCGAACTCACAGGGATTCACCTGCTTCTGCCTCCCAAGTGCTGGGATTAAAGACATGTGCCACCAATGAACGCCCTGTAAAATACTACTATGACAACATTGCTCTTTACTGTTGAGTTGAGGCGAGCATCTATCTTTGGGGGCTAACAGGAGCTATAGTTCCCAAGTCATTGCCTTCGAGGCTTTATTGTCTAATCATCCACAAGTTTCCTTGTCTGAGCCTAGTTCACTCTGACTTGAAAAGAAAGTGATTAAATCCCATTAGCTTTCATGCCTCTGTCTACTCAACAGAGATGTTGACAGCTACTAGTAGATAGGAAGATTAGAAGGGTGTGTGAAAACAAGACTGCTTTGGTTACATTTAAGGATGTTGAGACTATTGTCAAGCAGCCTTCAAATTCCATAATGCCAGTACTATGGACAGGTAACTCTGAGCTGCTTCTCTTGGATTGTACTCCAGCTCTATGCAGGTTCTAGACGAGTTCACAAGACCATTGCCCTTGCATTTAATGTGTAGGATGCCAATGATCGAAATATGCTGGGATTTTACCCCCCATCAGAGACATGGCACACAGAAGAATATTAAATTGAAGTAATTCAGTGCTGTACCATGCTAAAACCAAGAGGCACAGTGTGTATATAGATCAGTGGATTCACTAGGAGAATTCACAGAATTGAACATATTTGAGGCTATAGGTTATTTCAGTGAAAAGATGCAAAGGAAAGTTAGGACAGGGAAGGGTCTGAAAAAAAATAAAACAAGTATAAGTTTTCAAGATATGCATTGAATCCTCTAATGCCAAGATGAGACGTGTTAGAGACTGTGCCTACAGGCTCATGTTGCAGGGTGGTCATATGATTACTGTCTGCAACAAAGTCCTAGACTCCTAGAAGGAAAGCAGATGTTTAGCTGAGGTCACATTGTTTATAACAGTTCAGAAACACTAAATCACTTTTATCAGGCTCTGCTGATACCAGTTTCTAGCCATAAACCAAGCTCTAACCTTGAAAGCAGGTGTTCTGAGCAATAACATTCTAAGGGCTGCTATAGTAACTTTTCTATGCACAGAGAATTATGAACAAGCAATTGCAAGACAACTAGATATTAAATAAGTAATTCATTGGCTTGGGTTTTTTTGTTTTGGTTTTTATTGTTGTTGTTGTTGCTGTTGCTTTGAAGCATCGGTGAGTTAGGTAGGCAGGGGTGAATTAAATATGGTTGCTGAATTTTGTCAGATTAACTCAGCACCTTGGGAGCTTCCAGCCCATCCACTGACAAGGTTACCTATGCAAACTCTATAGTTGACGTCCATTGCCTCTTCCTAATCTCCATCGAAAGCTTCCACATCCCAGGGACCCTGGTTTTTGTAACAGAACTTCTGTTTAGTTCTTATGGTACTTCTCTGTTGGACTTTCTCAGACTTTTCCTGGCTCCATTTACCCTCAGGCCAGTTCTGCCTCAACTCTACCCCAGCCAAGGTATTCAGCAGCCCATATCTTCATTTGATGTTTTGGTCCTTTTCCATTCCATTCCTGATTGAAGAGAGTTTCTGAGATGTATACCTTTCCCTCAGCCAATAAGCTAAAAGTCCTTTGGTTTGTACTTTTAGACTCAGGGTAATTTTTACACTGTTGTCTCCTGAAGCACATTTGGCTAGAGCTTTAGAAATCGCATTTCCCATTTTTTCTTCCAGAATCTTTTCATGTAAGAGCCCTGAATGCTGTGACCAACCCCAGTGTCTACAGCATCTTTGCAGCTATTGATCTTACTGCCCTTGCTCCTATTGGAGGAGTTACTGGTAATCCCTAAACTCTGCCTTCTTCACTCTTTCTATGTGTTTGCATCAGAAGTACCATGGACCATTTGCAGGGTTCAGGTAATTGATGCCAATAAATGGAAACTTGGAGTGTTCTTGGCAAAGAGGTAGAAGGTGGTGACATTTCGGCAACATGTCCAATCACACAACCAAGGATCAATCAAAAAATAAACAAATTGCTGTCACCCTTAGGTAATTCAGACATCCTGGGGTTCCTGGAAACTCTCTGGACACTGATATCCATTCAGACCTGATTTTTTTCACACAGTGATATAAAGCCAAGTGAAAGTAATGCCATCGAGACATGAAACTAAGAAGGCAGTCAGGAGGCAGGCCCTGGAAAGGGGCAAGTGGGGTGGTATGGGCACATGAGGACATCAGGTGTGCAAAGAAACTTCTGTTTCATGAAGATCCCAGCCACCTGGAAGGAAATGAGGAGGCAAGAGACATTTGGAGGAGGTTGCAGTCTCTTAAGATAAGGTAGAGCCTCAACTAGATCTAATACAGGGTATGTAGAACATTAGATACAGCCATGGCAGATATTTAGAAGGCCAAATAATCAGATGTTGGGAGTGGCCAAGAGAGAATGGAGGTCTTCTGGTGTGGGGGTCAGCAGTAAATACACTCAGTTAAAGAACACCAAAATGTAGATGTTACATCTAAATAGCATCACACTCTGGGCTCCCTTTAGCCTCTCTTTTATGTACAAAGTATCCTCACTGGGTTTGCTCTGGTATTGTTTCCTTTTGAAGGTCCAGAAATGTCTTTGGTGTCTTTGGCAGACTTTAAGGCACAGGCACAAGAACACCTATCTAAGTCATCGTGGGACTTTATTGAAGGAGAAGCTGATGAGGGCATCACGTACAAGGACAACCTTGCAGCATTTAAAAGGTCTTCCGTTTATCCTTTCTATTGTTACTCTAATGTGCACCGCTTGAGCACCCCTGAGATGGCCACAGTTCTGGTGTCTGCCTTCAGCCAACACAGCATACACAGGAAAATGGCTGGCTTCTGTGTTGCTTTATGGGAATGAGGCATGGGGAGCCTGGCAGAAGTTTTATAGAAAGAATCTGTCTTAGATGGAGGGCAAGTGAGTTACCAGTTCTCTGCATAACAGCAACTTTGTAACACGTAAAGCTGGAACAAGGCCAGCATGGGTGCCTGGCAGATAAACCTACACGTTGGTTTCCTGAGCTCCTAAAACTTGTGTCTTGGAGGAGAAAAATGGGAAGGAGGGGAAAGGACTCAAGTCTGGAGAAAATGGGATCAAGGGGTGTTTAGGGATAATGGGAGGTTGCTTTGTGAAAGAATTGGACTTGAAAATTAAGAGTTGGAGCATATGTCAACCAACAAGAGCGATAGCCAAGTTTCTATTTGTCATAAAATAGTGTTTTAGATGTCATTTGTGAATTGCCCTACCCCCTAAAGCATTGTCAATTAATTAGTCTCCTGGGGTGACAGGAGGGGAGTGGACTATGACAAGATTGTTTTGTAGGATTTGGACTCTTAATTGCTTTGTCATTCTTTCTGGGGACACCTAAAATACCTTCCTTCCTTTTCTTTCCCTGTGCTGATAAAGACTAAATTAAGCATCTAAGTCCTGAGAGTCAAGCCACAGAGGCAGGACTCTAACAGCAAGACAGAGGCTAAAGTGGGCTCTGGCTCACCAACAGCTCAGGAGTTGCTGGGTTAATGTGAGAAAATGGTTTCTTGGCGATTAGCCTCCTCCTGAGCCTACACTGCTTATCCCACCAAGGGCTCAGAGGTCTAAGTCTGCTCAGACCGTCACTGGGAATCAGTCTCCCAGCTGCAGACATAAAGTATCACCATACTTGAGAATAATCCACCTTCTTGTCTAGCGCAGAATCCGCCTCCGCCCCCGATACCTGAGAGATGTGTCAGAGATAGACACCAGGACCATAATCCAAGGGCAGGAGATCGAGGCCCCTATCTGCATCTCACCCACTGCTTTTCACTCTATTGCCTGGCCAGATGGAGAAAGGAGCACAGCCAGAGGTATGAATCATCCCACTTGAAGGCTCCCTGTACAGAAGGCTAGAAGTGAGAGTGAGGCCCCACCCAGAGAAGTGTCAGGGGGCATCAAGACTTCTTACAGAACGGCCTTAGAGGCATCAGTCTTGTTGGAATTAAGAGCAGTGGCAAAACTGGACAGTGGTGGCACATGCCTTTAATCCCAGCACTTGGGAGGCAGAGACAGGAGGATCTCTGTGAGTTCAAGTCCAACTTGGTATACAGAGCTCCAGGACAGCCAAAGCTACACAAAGAAAACCTGTCTTGAAAAAAAATAGTATCAAAAGAATTGTTTAAGTCATTGTTTGTATAACATTGCATATATAGACTATAAAAATACATGCATTGGCTTAAGTTTTGATTAGTCCAAATTTTCTGGCCACTGATACAGCTTCATAGTGAGATTAACCTACTGGGGAGACACACCGACATGATGAAAACAGGAAAGGAGAAAAGATAATTCAGTAGCCATGACATACATTACTACCTTTTCCATTTGACAGATGAAGGAATTAATAAAGCCACGTAGAAAAGGAGGAGTGGGACTCAGTCTTCTCATTTTCAGATATGTGCGTGTTCCACAACAAAGTTCATGACTTTGCAGTGGAACAACATCTCCAGTCTCTACATCCCCTTCCCTCCACCAAGAAATCCCAATGGGTATATCACACCAACAGCAGTTCTGGGGATTCAGTAGAAAACCTTCATTATGAAAAACAAGACTTACAGAGCAGCTTACACAGAAGAAAACACAAACACTAGCCTCTCCATTGAACCAAACACTTTCTCATCCTGCCCTATGGGGAAATAGAATAGACACGGCTTTCTCTACACTCACTGGGCAACTGGGCCAGGGAGGCTGGCTCAAACAGCTCTGCCTTCCAAACTGGATCACACTCTCTGCTTTGCAGCTGCTCAAGAAGCCAACATCTGCTACATCACCAGCACTTATGCCAGCTGCACCCTAGAGGACATTGTTGCTGCTGCCCCCAGAGGTTTCCGATGGTTCCAGCTCTATGTACAGTCAGACTGGGAGCTCAACAAACAGCTGATTCAGAGAGTAGAAGGCCTGGGTTTCAAAGCTTTGGTGATCACTGTAGATGCACCAGTAATTGGCAAAAGGCGACGGAACATAAAAAACCAACTGAATTTAGAGGCAAACATAATGCTGAAGGACCTCCGGTCACCTGAAGCGGTGAGAAAGACATCAAACTCAAAGAGTATTAATTATTAGAAGTGTTTAGGATATATAGAGACCACTGTTGCCCTCTTCCTTCCTCCTTCCATCCATCCTTCCTTCCCTCATCCATCTCGCCCTTCCTCTCTCTCTCCCCCTCTCTCCCTCCCTCCCTCATGCCTTCTTTTCCACAAACATTTCCCCTGCCTGCCTTGTTGTGGCCACCATTAGAGAGGTGGCAGTTAAAGTGGATGACCCAGTTTCAGCTGCCCAAGCTTCCAGGCAGAACTTAAGACCAAATGCTCCCATCTCTGAAGCTGCTTAGACCATCATCAGAGATGCTCAACCAGTGCTGATGTTAGGAGACAGGGGAGCCTGAGAGAGGACTTGTACAGGAACTGGAGAGTAAACTAAAGTACTCATCTAATAGTTTCAATTTCATGATGGATTCAGAAAGTGGTTGTTTCTCATGGAACATAGACAAACTTATTCTGGGAAGAGGACACTCACGGCACAGGTGTATAGCTAGCTGGTCCAGCCAGCTGGGACCCCAATCTGCTGCCTTGTAATCTTAGAACTCCTCCAGACACATCAGGGCACTGCAGCAGTCTTTTGGAAACCTTTCCATTAAGGGACTACAATGGCCACTTCTTTCATTAAATTCTAACTATTGAAAAAGATGGCATGCCCTTAAGAGTGAAAATCATGGCTACAGTGATAATGGCCTTTTCAGTCTGTGGGCAGCTATCATTCTTCTGACTGTCCTTGAACCAAGAGACAAATTAAAATGTAAGGAAATCTGCTACATACTATAAGCCAAGGCAAGGATAACGGGCAATGCCTACTTTAAGGTTCTTTGTGTTTTGGTTTTATTAGTCCATGCATAGCTCAATCATAATGTGTCAAAGTGGCTGGGCAGTGATGGCACAGACCTTTAATTCCAGCACCCAGGAGGCAGAGGCAGGTGGATATCTTTGAGTTTGAGGCCAGCTTGGTCTACAAAGTAAGTTCCAGGACAGCCAGAGCTATTACACAGAGAAACCCTATCTTGAACCCTCTCCCCCCCCAAAAAAAAGAGGAAAAGGAAGGAAGAGAAAGAAAAAGAAAATAAAGGAAAATGCTAAGCTGACTCATAACTATTTTTCTTATTCATCTCACATACTAAACTCTGAACCCTTTTAAAGTAGAGATATGTCTTATCTGTCATTGTGTCTCCAAATCCTAGACATAATTATCAAGCAAAGACATTTATTGATGGTCAATGAACAAGTCATTGAAGCAGAAATCCTTCATACAAGTTTTGTGAGAGGAAGGAGTTAGACTTGGTGTTGGGTAGCATTGCTCAGCGTTCATAGCTTATAAGTAACGGAGCTTCAAGTGTGTCTCATCTTTTGAGTGAATCAAATGATGTGAGCATTTGGGACTAACATCCACTTTCTCATTCCCTACAGAGAAATTCCACACATTTTTCCCCCATGTCTTTGCCAAGTGCATCTTTCTGCTGGAATGATCTCTCCTTGCTTCAGAGTATAACTCGATTGCCCATTATCCTTAAAGGGATTTTGACAAAAGAGGATGCAGAGTTAGCAGTGAAACACCATGTCCAAGGCATCTTTGTTTCCAACCACGGTGGGAGGCAGATTGACGAGGTTCCTGCTTCAGTAAGTAGGATGACTACAGAGGGGTTCATCTGAGTGCTCTATGTGTGTCTATACCAAAGCCCCCTACTGAGTGTGGTACACATTGTCCTCTCCCTTAACACGGGTATTGCCTATGGCTTTTAAGGATAGTTAATTGCTAGTAATAGCCTACTGTACACATGACTATTTTTGTAAACTGTGGAACATATCTAAACTTTGTGACACTGCTGCAAAATTTTACAGTTAGTGATTCTGGACTTTAGAGACATCAACTGATGTGTACAAGTTCCCAGTGAGGTAGACTGAGGGAGAGGTTGAAAAGGCATTGAGGGCCCTGTCTTGGGCCAGCAGTGATCAGATTAAAGCGCGTGTCTTCTTGGAGCTTTGGAAACCTCAAGATTTCCTACCTGAAACAATGCAGGAAGGAGCAGCACCTCACGTGGAGGCAGAAGTGCTTTTCAACATGGACGTGAGTGCAGCCCTCACAGTGCACAGTACACAGCTGAGCCCTTTATGAAAATCCATAACAGCTTGCACTAGCTCATAAATGTGTGTCCATTCTGCATGGTGCTAAAGAGAAAGAAAGGGAGAAAAGGGGAGTAGGGAAAGAGTCTTTACAAGGAAATCGGTTATTAATTTGTCATCATAGATATATTTATGCTGTCTTTTCCCCAAAGGCTATTCTCATTTTAACAAAAAAATTAAGCTCTTTCCTCTTCCATTCTTATTGTCTCTTGCAAAATATCCATGAGCAAAAGGAGATGATTTAAAAACACCCCTCATTTTATCACTACCATTGATGCTAATTTCTGGTACTTATTAATACAATAAAACATTTTGATTTAAAAATATACACATATTAATATGCTTAATATTAATTTCCAAATGTATTAGGCATGTACTTTTACTTATAAGTCTCTCTTCTCATTAATGATGTATCACTTATATAATCAACCCCTTAGTGTTGAACACCTGAATCAATTCCAGTATTTCCCTAATTTGTCTCTTTTTGTTTGACTTGCTTGTTGTTTTAGACAAGATCATACCATGTAGCCCATACTAACTTTGGCTCCTAAGTCTTTCCACCTCTGTTCCCTGACTGTGAGAATTACAGGCATGTGCCACTAAAACTTACTTTTAAAAAGATATTTGAAGCAGTGCACCAGTGACCATCCTTAAAATTAAAATCTGAAGTGTGTTCTTGATTAGTTCTTCAAAAGATAGATGCCAAGCAGCAGAGATTCCGAAGCTGCCCTGACTGTGTTCTGAGGTTCGTGGGGCTGAGTGACTTCAGGTACTGCTACTCCTTCTCTCTCAGGTGCCCTTTAGTGAGAACAGTCAAGTGACAGGCCTAAAGGTCTCACTCTGCTGTGTCTCTCAGTGAAAACTGGCCGGAGAGGTACAGTCGTGCCTCTCAAGACAGGAGAAGACAAGGAAAAGCAAGAAAGCATGGGACTGGAAAGGGTCCCTCACTGCCAGGATCTGGCTTACAAACCTGGCTCACTGGCTGAGTTAGGAAGGCTTCAGTGTTAATAATGGGTTTGGTATCTGCTTTTTTCCATTTCTTCTCATATATTTCCTTTCAATGAGCAAAAAAAAAACTTGATACAACTAGCAAAACCAAAACCTCAGCAGACATTGCCTTGAGATAACACTCCTCTCTCCAAGCAGTGACTCAAACAAGAGTGTTGAGTCAACAAGGAAACCAGGTTGAGGACCAGAACATAGCTTTGGATTTTAACCTTTTTTCCACTTCTGTCTCATCACTGAGCTTGAACAAGGCCTCTCTCAATTGCATCTGCAAAAGACAATCCTTAAAGGGGATGAAGAAACCAGTCCTGTGAATTTCTATAGAAAAAAAACTGTCTTTGTGCTTCCTCTTGGGATCAAGGCACAGCATTTTTAGAGAACTTCAGGAAATTTCCTGTTCCAACCTATTGAAAATGAACCAGTCTGCACCCTAGGCTGAAATCAACTTCTACTTTTATTATTTCATGCATTTGTTTTCCAATTTAGTGTTTACATTTATTTATTTTATGTGTGTGTGCATGTTTGCCCCCCCCCTCTCTCTCTGTGTGTGTGTGTGTGTGTGTGTGTGTGTGTGTGTGTGTGTGTACTTGCCTGTGTCTGTGTGTATGGGTGGGTATGGCAAATGCCTTCACCTGCTGAAACATCTCCAGGACAAATTTTTGGTTCTTCTGAGACTCTTATGTAGCCCAGACTGACACTAAACTCCTGATTCTCTTCGCCTCTGCTTATAGACACTACCACTATTGACTTCTGCATTCTATTTCTAAATTATTATCAGATGCACTGCTGAATATCACTAAAGGAGTTTTATAAATATGCTTATTTCCTTTTTCACAGAATCATAAAAATATTCCAAATACTAGCTGGACATGAGTTTTTTCCAGTTAGTACATAAGTCCAAAATGCATCCACTGCTCCCTCCATACATACATCAAAGGACAACATTATTTCATCCCTGTTTTTTTATTATCATTCTGTTCGGGTGTGGCAGTTTTCCGATGGGTTCCTTCCGTTGTATCAGGATCTGGGGGCTCTATTTCAATGCCTCTTTTCAGTTTTCTTCAGAGGAGCACAGATAATAACAAAGGAAGCTCAGAACTGCCTCTTCAAGGACCTTCATCCCAGAACCCAGTAGGGCCTGCTCTCCTCCTCCTTGTAGACATGGAGGAGCCAGGGACCTGTGGGTGCCAGATGGGGAGGGGGGCGGGGAAGACCAGAGGAATCAAGGCTTTCTCGTCCATGTCTGGAACTCAGAGAAACCAGGACAAAGTGACTCTGGTTTTCCTTTGTCTTCCAAAGGAGTAACTTGATCTTTTATGATGTTGCTGCTAGATTCTTATTCTCATATCTCAGATGAGGACCTCAGGGAGGAGTTGCCCATTCATGATGACTTAAGACATGTTGCAGTTTTCCAAACAAGCTGATGTTTAGACACTCAGGCATGACTGGTCACATTTATTCTTCTAAAAAATAAAAGACTTAGTGCCCAAACAGTGGAGGACATCTCTAACTACGACAGGTTCCATAGTACCAAAGTGGACACTGTGAATGGGATGCCTTCTCCCTGAATATGTAAGCAGGAGCCAAGCATACCTTCTAACACAGAGAGGATTTTCAAAGAGTCAGAAGCTAGACTGGAGGAAACATGGAAAGTAGCTGGAGGGACAGTGAGAGGGAGTCTCATCTGCTCCCCAGGAGTCTCCAGTCTCGTGAGGAGGATGCTGAGTTCCCACAACTGCAAGTTGGAGAAAGTCGTGAAAGGCCTAGCCTTTGCTGTAATTTCCTGGTCCTATTCTACTGTGAGAGGACACTCATCCCATGACCCCATGCAAAACAAAAGAGAATTGCCTGGATGCATGTGTGCATTTCTTTTTCAGATTGATGCTCTGATGGAAGTGGTGGCCGCTGTCAAAGGGAAAGTTGAAGTTTACATGGATGGTGGGGTTCGAACTGGCAATGATGTGTTGAAGGCACTGGCCCTTGGGGCTAAGTGCATTTTCCTTGGAAGACCAATCCTTTGGGGCCTTGCCTGCAAGGTAGGATTGCTATCATGAGGTTCTGAACTCGGCATTCATCCACATGGTTTTCTATAATCCAACTTCCAATGAAGACGTGTCCTAAAGTTCTTGTAAAAATAGTTTCAGGTCACCTCACCTTCAGGCCTCTGCAGTGTTCTGCAGACTTCACCACCCTGCATGCTTTCCTTTTCTCCTTTGTTTTGTTTTAGTATCTACATAATTCTGGTTAGTTGATTGTATGCTCCCTGCAACTGTTCTGACTGTACACACAGTTTGCACCCAACAAGTGTCAGAGTGTTCTATCAAAGGCTGTGTCTCTCCCCTCCTACTTTCCAGGGTGAGGATGGTGTTAAGGAAGTTTTAAGTATTTTAAAAGGAGAGTTCCAAACTTCTATGGCCCTTTCAGGTATGTATTCTGCCCATTGCCCCTCGTCCCCCATTCAGAGCGGCTGGTCTGAAAACCCTCACTCTGGTTGACCCTACCTCGGCTCAGTAGTTGTCCTGAAGACAGAACAGGGTAGAAATGTTCCACAAAGAGATTGGGGAGGGCTCTCTGATAGTGGAAGCCCTGTGCTTTTCTCAAGGTCATTATCTATGCTAAATTAGTTCAGTCTGTGGCTGCCTAAGGCTCTCACCGTGGTGTGACATTCAACCATCTCCTACCTTCTTTTAGGAAAAGAATCTCTCAGTGGGTACATTTTTGTGATACATAGGGGGGTGAGTGAAGGTGGCTACATCAAGTTCAATACCATGCATCCTCTTACTAAATTCCTTCAGCCTTTTTATCACCATGGATTTCTCACTGTCCTTTCTCGCAACTCCCCAAGCCACCATGCTTTCTTTGCTCTTGTTCAATCGACATGTGGAAGCTCAGCTCTGGTCTTTTTGTCACACATTAATTAAGATTTTCTGGTAATGATCCATCTTTTCTTGGCAGAAACTTCCCTAGAAGGTACTTAATATGTGGGGTACTCACCCCATCTGCTACAGTATCCCTGAGTCTATCCTTCCTCACAGACTAGGGCATACTGCCTGAGTACACCCACCTTGTCAGAACTGAGCTAAAAGCCAAAGACGGTTATGCATGCTATTAGGTTTTGGGTGCTAAAACAGAGGTGTGTGTGTGTGTGTGTGTGTGTGTGTGTGTGTGTGTGTTCTTACATTTTGATGTGGCTATGTGTAAACTATGAGCAGCTATAAGATCATTGATTCCCACTGCAACCAGAATTATAATACTCATTCAATATGAACAACACTTTATCAAGGTAAGCACAAAGATTAAAGACTTGCTCCTGTTACACCACCCCATATCATGGAGTAAGCGAAATAAGAGAAGTGAGCTCTGTGATTGAGAGAGAAACACACACACACACACACACACACACGCACACACACACCACGGGGGGGGAGAGACAGAGACAGCAAGAGAAAGATATGATATACAGAGAGAGAGAAAGCAAGAGAGAGAGAGAGGGAGAGAGAGAGAGAGAGAGAGAGAGAGAGAGAGAGAGAGAGAGAGAGAGAGAGAGAGAGAGAGAGAGAGGTACATGTAGGAGCAAGTGTGGTGGTAAAAGGACAGTTTTGACAGTTGCTTCTCTCCAGCTGTTTTGTGGGACTCATACCCAGATCATCAGATCTGTATTCAGTGACCTCTCCCCACTAAACCCTCTCACCTGCCTCAAAGCAAGCTTGTAATTATGTGTCATTCTTTCAGGCTGCCGGTCAATTGCTGAGATCAGTCCTGACCTGATTCAGTTTTCCAGATTATAAAGAAATACTGAGATCTCCTACAAGGGGAAGACAAGACCTCAATGTAGTGTGTAGTGCTGTTCTTTGCAGCCCCCATCCTATCGAGTAGTTTGAACCTTGTACCCTCAAAATTAGAGATGGGTGTAGAAAAGATAACTACCACCATTGTGCATTTGGATAAAGGAATAACATCTAATATTCTACTGGATAACTATAGTTGACAACAATTAATTGACTATGTCAAATATTCATGTTCCAACACAAAAGGAAATAGTTATGTCTGATGTGACACACCAGTTACCCTCATCTGATTATTATATACACTATACAGTATCAAAATGCTATACTATACCATACATGTGTGCAATTAAAATAACAATATATGCTCACAAAGAAAAGAGACAGGATTACCCTGATGTCATTTTACTCATTCTGTCCTGCAAGGCATAGTGGGAATTTTTAAACATTAATCCATACAGTCAAAGTCTGAAACATAAAACAGCAGAGATCAAATGAATGTTTGAATTATTCAAGGTTCTGACACAGGATATTACAGAAATGTTATGATCTATTGCCTAATGTCTGTCCTAGATAGTAACTGACCTCCAAAGAAATAGCAAAAGGAAGATTCTGACACTCATTTTCAAGATTCTATAAAATTAAAATCAACTATTCCAATCTTTCACCAACATGTGAGAAAGAAGATACCTTTATTCTGTTAACATTAGTTTTGTCAAATAAATGTATGATTTTCAATAAAGTTTATAGAGTTAAAGTCTGAGAAGATTTCTGCTACTCAGAAGTCTCCAAGAGCCCAGCCTCATGCAAACACATAAGAAACAAACCTCACCCGTTTCCTGGAGCAAGTGATCACATCTAGATAGATGTTGCTCTTCTTTAACATCTCCTGCAGCCCCATATTCCTTTGATCACTCTTTTTTCGGTGTTTCTATATCACAGAATTATGTGTCAGGCACCATGCACTTTTAGATCCCTCAATTTATACACCAATAACTTTAATCCAACCATTCTCATCACATTAGAAACAAAATCAAAATGCCTCAGTACTACTTGGCCTCAGTGATTCTCTTAGTTAGCTTCAGCTGTCAACCCGACATAGACCTAGTGTCCCTAGGTAAAGGGAACCCCAACTGAAGAACTGCCTCAATCAGATAAGCCTGTAGCTATGTCTTTGAAGGGTTTTCTTAGCTACTAATTGATAGAGGGACTGGCCGACTGTGCACAGCACAATATCTGGGCAGATAGACCTGGGCTGTACTTAAAAAGCTTGCTGAGCAAGCCAGGAGGCCAAGTCAACCTTTACCCTCTAGCCACCTCATAACTTAATTTGTTCATGCTTCCCTGCTGATTGATGAACATGCTGTGAAATTTCCTCCAACGTTCTTGGTGATAGCCTTTCTCACTGTAATAACTTCAGACAGGCACAACATAAATCATCTCTTCAACCTCAAACTTAGCCCTGGAGATTTGATTAAGTTGTTGTTTGTTTCGAGATTTGTCTGTTTCAAACAAATCTGTGGAGCACACCTTTAATCCCAGTCCTCAGGAGGCAGAGGCAGGCAGATGGATCTCTGCAAGTTCAAGGCCAGCCTGGTCTACACAGAGAAACCATGTCTCAGGGGGAAAAAAGTTCAGGGTATGAAATAATTTGGCAAGCAGACAGTGGCATTATTTTGTTTAAAACTATAAGTGCTCCATGATTCCATCCATTTGAGTGACAGCCCTGCCTTATCTGGAACCTAGTTTTAAAATAACAATTTAGGGTCCAACAGATAGACGGAAAACTCTAAAGGAAGAAACCAAGGTGATTACATAGAGAGCATGCCATCTGAGTGCTCCCCATTGTCCAGAAGCATGAGTGTAAGATGATGCACTGATCCAGCTGTTAATAATTCCATGTGAGAAAGAGACAGCCTACTACACTGACTAATCCAATTATGAGTATCAGGCCAGTGACCAAGAGCAGGTTTATGCTCAAAGTCTCTTAGAACTGAAGCTCAGAGGCACAGCATCTTTAGAAGCAAGAAGCACAATTGCAAACGCATTAGATGAGGGTCAGAGTAAGCTTGCAACGTTTGTTCAGTCACAAAATAACAGTTATTTCAGGCATGGCATGAAAACTATGTTCTACTTAAACATTTTTGATTAGTTTAAACATTAATTATTTTGATTCATACATCTGGACCATGGTTGTGGTCATAGAAAACTCAAATGTGTTGCCAAGGTAAACATGACTGTTAAGGGTAGAGGGCTGAGAAGTATCTTAGCAGAGGCACAATGAAGTCAGGACAAGATGGCTTTGCTTCAGTCACTTCAAAGGAAATGCATATTAAAATCTCAGAAAGAGATGCTTTGAAATTTAAAAGTATTCTGTATTACAGTATGACCTTATATAAATGGAAGTATGAAAAGAGAAAATAGGCACATAGAAAGAGGCTCAACACCATGCATATTAAGAAACTACAGATTAAAACAACAATAGAATATGACTGCATACCTACTGGAACATGGACAAGTCAAACCACCACGAACACCAAATGTTAGCAAGGATATATGTTGCAGGTGAGTGTATGAAACATCATAGGCACTTTGTAAAACAGTTTGTCACAAAACTAAGCATCTTTACTGGATGAACTGGTAACTGTGAGCTACGGTGTTTACCCAAATATGTTTAAATATATGTCCACATACATAGAAAACAACTGTAGGAGAGTCTTTACAGGAACTCCATTCCAAACTTCCCAAACATGGTACTCCCATGATAATCTTTAGTAAGTTCATTGGTAAATGCTGGTACAAAAAGATATTTTTTTCAGTTCCTAGGAGGAAAAAAACTATCAAACCATGAAAAGACTGGAAGAAGCTTAAAGGTATGACACTAAGTGAAAGAAGCTGGTCATAACAAGCTTCATACTGTAAAAATCTAAATGTAAGACATTGTAAAAAGAGGAAAACCATGGAGACAGAGTTCACTGATGTAACAAACACATCCTTCAGTGTAGGATATCAGTGTAAGGAGGCTGTGCATTTGCAGGCTGTGTAGCTTCGGGAACCTTGTACTTCCTGCCCAATTTTGCTCTGAAACTCAAACTATTATTTAAAGTAATCCATGTAAATATTAATTCCCACTGAAGGAATGTAGCTCGGCGGTAGAGCATTTGATCATTGGGCTTGAGGTTCTGGGTATAATCCAGGCTGACAGGGCACAAAATGGGTAACATACTTGATGCACAGTAAATGACAATAAATACTAAATGTATTAGGGTTCATATGTTGCCCACCCACTCCAGTGGTGTCTGCATGACAAGCCTAAAAACTTGGTGGGAGGCCTGAGGCAAAAGTTTCATGGAAACTGGTCTCCTGGAGGTCCCTGGCATCCCATATCAAGGATGTGTTCCAGATTTGTTCTAGCAATGACCGATGGATGTTTCTGTATCCTATCTTTTTTTGGCATTAATTTCTTTTGTAGGAGTAAGTATGCCTCAAGGGTCCAATCTGATTGAAGGTCCAGTAAAATTGGATGTTTCTCCTCTGGCTACCACTGATGCTCCAACTTCCTTGCCAGAAACAGAACTAACAAAATCAGGGGCTCCTCCAGTAAATAGGGAATCTTCCCAAATGTTTAGGACAACAGCTGCTTCCCTTTCTTATACTGGAATTTATGATGAAGAAGATAATAGGAGGAGAACATGTGCTGTACTACACCCTGAATTTAGTGGAAAGGCTTGCAAGAGCGAGACCCCCTTGGTGTCTATTATCCAAGGCACAACAAAATAATATAATCAGAAAATTAGAGAAGGCAGGCCAGTGGTGGGTTCAACACTGGACCAAGAATTGGAACTATGGCTGGGGCATATGCCCATAAGACAAGCGAAGTAATTCTAAGAATAGGTTGAACTCAGAACTGATGCTATCATGTTGTAACCACTTTCTGACTACTGCCAGTTCTTATGTGTTTGGTTTTCTATTTTGAACTTCTAGTCTCATGATGTGCCTTATGTGCCAATTTTGCTGACTTCACTGTACCTTGACATATGCACAAAATTAACTTCCTTACTTCCTCAAGTAATGATTATAAAAGTCTGATGCATGCTTTGAGAAACTACACTCAGATTCAGCACTCTCTTGTGTTAGTGTCTGCTTGTCACTCGCCGACTCTTTGCCCCCCTGTACCGGATCCCTGATTCTCCCTGGGTTGAGGGACCCTGTCTGGGTCTGCCTATGGCAATATATCAAGATTCTTATGGGCAAGATGGGTCATTTGACTCTTGATCTTCTTTAAAAATATTTGATTTTATGTATGTGTATGTGTGAGTGACTGTAAGCATGAATGGGCATCACATGTATGTGTGTTGTCTCCAGATGCTAGAAAAAATGTGGGAAACCCCTAGAACTGAAGTTACAGACAGTTGTGAGCTACCATGTGTGTATTAGGAACCAAACACAACTCCTCTACAAGAGCAATAAGTGCTCCTAAACACAGAGTTACCTCTTCAGCCCCTCTTGACTTGATCTTAACAATCCACTCCTTACATTTTTTGAGTGACCTCACTGGGTCAACTGGGTGAATATTTAAATTATTTTGTCAGAGACAAACTTGCTTCATTGTGCAGTTCCACAAATATAACACTTGTCTTCTTGTATCTTCACCAACACCTAATGACTACAACTCTAAATAATTGAAAAACTAGCTGTGGCTCTTTTTAAAAAAACTTTTTAGATGTATATTAAATTAAAAACAAGCTTACTTCCCATGTCAGTCCCAGCTCTCTCTCTCCCTCCCCTCCATGCACACTCCATCCCCCCAGGCCCCCAGACCTCCACACAATCCCCATTCCGTTCCCCAGGGAGGGTAAGGCCCTCCATGAGGGATCCCTAGAGTCTGTCATTTCGTTCTAGGGGGGGCCCAGGCCCTCCCCCAAGTGTCCAAATTGAGAAAGCATTCCTCATTGAGGGATGGGTCCCCAAAGTCCATTTGTGTGCCAGGGATAAATATTGATCTACTACCCAAACACCCCATAGATTTCCTGAGTCTCCTCACTGACACCCACATTCAGGGGGTCTGGATCAGTTTCCTATGCTGGCCTCTCAGCCATAAGTCTGGGGTCCAAAATCTCCCACTTGTTCAGGTCAGTTGTTTCTCTGGGATTCACCAGTCTAGTCCTGACACCTTTGCTCATCACTCCTCCCTCTCTGTCACTGGGTTCCAGGAGTTCAGTTCAGTGTTTAGCTGTGGGTGTCTGCCTCTGCTTCCATCTGTCACTGGATGGAGGTTCTAGGATAGTATGCAAGATAATCATCAAAGTCATTATTAGGGAGGGGCATTTAAAGTAGTCTCTCCACTACTGCTTAGTTTGTCATTGGTGTCATCCTTGTACATCTCTGGAGTTCTCATTAGTGACAGATCTCTCCTCAAACCTAGAATGGATCCCTCTATTATGGTATCGCTCATCCTGTTCTCCTCTATTCTTACCACAACTCAACCTTTCTGTTCCCATATGTCTTCCTCTCCCTTCCTCTTGTCTCCCTCTCTTTTTCCTGGTTCCCTTTCCCCTCCCCTCCCCTGTACTCCCAATTTGTTCAGGAGATCTTGCCTCATTCCACCTTCTCTGGGGTACCATGTATATCTCTCTTAGGGTCCTTCCTGTTTCCCTGCCTCTCTGACAGTGGGATTGTAGATAGGCAC